TCCCAGGGCAGAGGTACGCTCACCCGGGCAGGGGTGGCTGGCCTCTGGAGGAAGCCTCTGGTGGTCCTCAAGCCCCTCCCAAGCCCCTGGCCAGCCAGCATCCCTGCTCTGGGGCAGTGGGAGAGCGGCCAAGGCGCCCGGAGGGCAGGAATGTTGCCGTGGCCTTTGGCAGGTATTCCTGCAGCTACCAGCCCCGACTGGGTTGAAAGGGACACACCGTCGCAGGCGCAGGGGTGGCTGGCCTCTGGAGGAAGCCTCTGGTGGTCCTCAAGCCCCTCCCAAGCCCCTGGCCAGCCAGCATCCCTGCTCTGGGGCAGTGGGAGAGCGGCCAAGGCGCCCGGAGGGCAGGAATGTTGCCGTGGCCTTTGGCAGGTATTCCTGCAGCTACCAGCCCCGACTGGGTTGAAAGGGACACACCGTCGCAGGCGCTTCTCTGCTGCCCGCCCCTCGCCTCACACCTGACTCTTTCTGCAGGGCATACAACTCAGCGGATTATGACTACCTGCAAGTCTCCCTGGAGGTGAAGGAGCTGTTTCAGTACATCCGAAGGTGAGTGAGGGTGGGGGTAGCCAAGGGAGCCTCAGATAAAGGCGTCTGCTCATGGAAGCATGTTTGTGCCTTAGGTATTCGGCACAAATGATTGACCTGGAGCACAAGCTGAAACCTTTCATCCCAGACTTCATTCCTGCTGTCGGAGATATTGACGCTTTCTTGAAGGTACAGCATTGTTTTGGCTGCTCTCTTTCTTTTACTGCACGGTCCAGGCAAAACCACTTGAGCTTTCTGGTGACATCAGCAGCCATAAGGAGGTCAAGGGGAGGTCATGATTTGGGAGGCAGCAACTCCATAGGAATGTGTCCCCTGCTCATGTCTCTTTCAACCTTGCTTGGTGGGCACAGCTGCACTCCTTGGCTTAGGCACTGCATGGTAACGACTGGGGCCTTCCAGAAAAAACACCCTTGAGCAGACCTGCATGCCAAGGGGGAAGAAAATTGGCAGGGAGCCCTTTCACCCAGCCTGGGCCCCTGGGGCTGTGTTTTCCAGGTCCCACGCCCTGATGGGAAACCAGACAATCTCGGCTTGCTGGTGTTGGATGAACCCTCAACCAAGCAGTCTGATCCCACCGTGCTTTCTCTCTGGCTAACAGAAAATTCCAAGCAGCACAACGTGGCTGTAAGTGACTTTGGCCAGGGCAGGGGGCAGAAAATCTAAGGGAGTGGGTGGCCATTGGTTTGGGGGGTCAACAAAATGTTCTGGTGAAACAGGTTCTGTGTGGCATTTCTAGCAGCAGGTTAAAGTGAAGAGCCTCGAGAACGCAGAGAAGAACCCCAAAGCCATCGACAGTTGGATTGAGAGCATCAGCGAGCTCCACCGTTGCAAGCCCCCAGCCACGGTGCACTATGCCAGGTGGGCCTCCAGAAAGGAGAGGGTGAGCATGGGCCTGCCCTGAGCCCTGCTGTCCCCATGTCCCCTCCTCTGCCTGAAGGAAGTGGGGAAGGGGCTTGGAGCCACAGCCACCAACTCAGGCTGCCCCGTGTTTGTCCCTCATAGGCCCATGCCTGACATAGAAACTCTGATGCAGGAGTGGTCCCCTGAGTTTGAAGAGCTGCTGGGAAAGGTACAGCAACCCCCAACCTACCTGCTGGCATTAAGCTTTCACCCCACCCATTCTACCCTTGGTTTCCTCCTGGTTGCTCCCTGGTGGTCCCAGAGTGTTGGGAGTCAGCCAGAGCCAAAGTCAGGTTGGCCTCCAGGAGAAGGAAACCCTGATCCTTCATCTCTGTCCTCCAGGTGAGCCTTCCCACCGCAGACGCAGACTGCAGCCTTGCTAAATACGCGGACATGATCTGTGGTGAGTGCACTCTCCCTGCTTTTCTTAGGAGGGCCTCAGGATCCAGGAGTGGGAGGTAGGGAGGGGTGGATCCACCCACCACCACCACCCCCGAGTGCCTCTCTGGGCATCCCCCAGCGCGGTCTCACCAGTTGCTGCCTGTGTAGCTGGGCCCAGACTGTGCTTTCTGCAAATCACACTGAATGGCATCCATGGGGTTGGGCGGTCTCTTCCTCAGCTATTTTGGACATTCCTGTTTACAAGGACCACATCCAGCCACTGCACACACTCTTCTTGCTCTACTCAGAATTCAAAAATTCACAGGTAAGAGAGAAAAGGCTCTGGGATGCTGAGGTCTGGGGGGGGAGATGTGCTTTCATGCAGTTGTGCACTGCAGCTGCCACCCATTTGTGACTCTGAGCATGGCTTGCCATCTGCAGGCAGCGGATGGGGCCCGTGAGAAAGCAGCAGCACCCAATGTTATTGGCCTTTTTTCCTTCTGCCTTTCCTGCAGCATTTCAAAGTGCTGGCTGAGGGCAAGAAAACCGCTAGCCCTCCCTCCAACCCCCCCTCACAGGCTGGGGAGTCGGACTTCCTGAGCTTCACCTGAGGCCCCCACTGGCCCCTGGAAGGAGAGGAGCTGCCTGCCAGAGACACCGCCGCTCCAGAGGTCTCCTCGTGCAGGCAGGGGCAGCAGCGTCTTCCTGGTTTCCACCGGGCCAATCTGCTTGGGCCACAAAAGAGGCCAGTGGAGAACAACAGCAACCCCTGCATCTCCTGTGCAGGCGGCCGGTCATGGGCCACTTGCAACCCCCCTCTGAGGATGTGGCCACCCAAATGCCTTCCTTGTATGGTTTTTTAAAAAGAGGATTCTTCAATAAAATATTGGCCGTGGTGGTACTTTATTCTTGAAGAACTGGGGGTGTGGTAGGGGGCCCTTGTGAGGGATGATGGTGATGTGGACCCAACAGAATGGCCAAGCAGCCCTTTCTCTGGCAAAGGGCTGCGTGTGGCCAGGACCTCAGGCCCTGAAGGCTACCACACACTGGCTTTCTGGCCCTTCAAAGGCAAGGAGCCCTGGCACCCCAGGTCACTGTTTGGGGACATGCCCAAGACCCACTCAGCCCTTCCTCTATTCCAGGAACCCCTGCATTTGGTCAGACCTGCCCATGAATATGACGGACACAGAGACTGCACACCTGCACTTCTTTGGCCCTCCTCCCCACCCAGGGTTTATTCTGATCAGTCCAGTTCATGTTTAGCGGTCACCTTAAAGAAAAAAGGTCTCGAGAGGGAGGCTGGGTTCCTTCTGCTGCACCTGCCAGAAGGGAGCACGTTAGCAGCGCCTGGACGCATCCCGGTGGGACAGAGGGAAAAGAGAGGCGAGGGTTGTTGCTTGGGCAGCATCCAGGTATTTGCAAAAGCAGCAAAACAAACAAACAAACACCTCGGCGCTGAGGTGGCGGCAGCAGCAAGAGCAGCTCAGAGACCAACCCGTTTCCCAGCAGCCTGTTGATGGAAGCCGAGGCGGGCATGCAGGCCACCCCGCTTTGTGGGACAGGGTGGGGCGAAAAGGGCAGAGGGAGGTGGTGCCCATGCTGGAGGAAAACCCTGGGTAGGCAGCTGCTTTGGTGGGTGGAGGTGGGGAGGCCCTGCTCCTGAGCGGTTGTCTTCTTGCGCCTCCACGGGTCCTGCGGGCCTAGTCCAGAGGCACCGTTGTTTCCTGCTCTTCTTGCTCAGGTGCCTGTGAGCTGCGGCCAGGTATGCTCTCTTGGCTGCTGAGATGGCCCATAGAGGGGGGGGAGGTCCTGCTCGAGGGAAGATGAGCCGGCCTCCGTACATAGGGGCACCCAAGCACCCATGGTTCCTGCAGACCCTCTGGAAGTCGGCCTTTGTACCTGCTGGCGGGTGTGGGCGATGGACATCATAACCAGATCTCATCGCTGCTCATACTGGAAGCTCGATAGATATATCCAACCATAGGGAACTGGCCGATCCCTGCAAGGCCAGAGAGAGACACCTGATCGCAACTCCTGGCGGAACAAGAGGGTGGGTGGGTGGCGCTGGGGCCATCTGGCCCCAGAAAAGGCCCAAATCACGCCCCACATGATGCACCTGCCTTCGGTTCTTGGCCTCATCACCTGATGGGTGGCAACAAAGCCAGAATTCAGGCCCTTGGCCTCCCTTGCAGGGCATTGCACTCTTGGACTGGAAGCAACTCCGGCAAGGTCAGGTAGAGGGGCCTGACAGGTACAAGGTCAAGTCAAGTGTGCTGCCTCGCCTGATCTCTTTTTTGGGAATGAAATGCCAAGGAACCAGCCTGAATGCAGAGAAGAGCGGGTGCTCCTCTGGCTTTCAAATATAGAAGTTCCTGGGGGGGGGGGTTGTATCAGACTCCAGCATCATCGCATTTGGTTTAATTTCTGTTAAGAAAACCCTTCAAGCCCTGAAGGCTGGGATGGCAAATCTCGTAACTGCTCTGTGGAGGCCCCTTGGATCAAGGAAGTGAGAACCCACGTCCCCTCCTGCACTGGTCACAGCAGGTTTTTTAAAATTTGCCCACCAGCTACAAGACCCCACCCAACCCAGCACTGATGCTTGATTTGGTTCTTTTGATTTACATCCCCCCCCCCCACCCACCACCACCGCTGCCCTTGCCCACACACCCCTCTCCCAAAACCCTTCCCAGGTGCCGATCAGCATTTTCCATGTCAATGGGATTGGGTGGTTGTTGCCCGCTGTCCCCCCACCCCAACCCTACCTTGGATCGCAAGGGCCAGGCGATTGTCTGGCTCTGAAAGGGCTCCTTCTCCCTCTGCCTCCTCCTCCTCCTCCTCCTTCACTGGCACACCCTCCGTCCTGAACATGGCTGTGAAGGGAAAGAGGCACAGCTTGGCTGGAGTGCTTTGCCACTCGAGATCCCTCCGATGCAGAGGGCAGGGACCCACCAGCCCAGGATGACTCTTGCTGCCTCACCCTTGGGCTCCGGAGGGAGATCGTTGAGCTGCAGGTTGGCCGGCAGGGACCTGTTGGACCGCGGCAGGCGAGTGGTGGAGGGCCTCAGGCTGGCGGAGTCCCTGCGAGGAGACCAAAGGGGAGAGAGGTGGCCAAGTATTTCCCCTCCATCAGGAGGGCTCTGCAAGGACTCCCCCTTCCTAGTTGGTTCTGCTTGCTTTCCCCCCCTCCGCCCCCCCCTCTGATGCTTGGCTAGTCCAAGGGAAAGATGAGACCTCAGGGTCCCCCAAGCATGGAAATGCCGAGCCCAGGGGGCTGCCTGGATGGGTGACACCCTTGAGAAGACAAAAGGGCCAACCAAGTGCTCTGTCCCTCCCACCCAGGGAGGAGGAGGAGGAGGAGGAGGAGCCCCCAACTGGGAAGGTTACCTCAGAGGTGGTGGCCCTGGGGACTGAGGTCCTGCCGCAAGAAGAGAGAGAGAAGTGGGTCAGGCCCTCCCAAAGGTGGGCCCCGGGGGCAGTGGGTGGGAGACCCTCTTCTGGCTGACCTCCCCTGCACCCACCTGCCGCCTTCTTGCCCTCACGGTAGACCACACAGCTGACAAGGATGCCGAGGGAGAGGAGGGTTCCCAAGGCCACGGCACCCCCCACCACAAGCGCCAGGATGGACAGCTCGACGCGCGTGTCCAGGAGGCCTGGGAAGCCAAAAATCCAGGTCAGAGGCCTCCAGAGAGGCAGAGGTGCCCCCCCCAAGCCGCCATCACCTTTGCTCAAAGGGCACGCCTGACTGACAGAGTTGGGCCGGAGGAGGTCAAGGAGGCGGAGCCAGGCTGGCCTTGAGGCCGATCCCTCTTTGGCCCTGCACAGCCCTTCGGCCCTCCACTCCCGCCCTGCCCTGCCCTTGGGCCCTCCTCAGCTATGGCTTCCATGGGCCCTGGACGGGCCAGTCTCCCTGCAATCATCCACTTGGGCTCAGGCCTGCAAGCAGCCGCTTGGCTCGAGGGTCCTGCCGTAGCGCCTGGGGGTGAGCGGGTGAAGGTTGGACCGCCCCCTGGCCACCACCTAGGGGGTGCTGCCCCATGAGCAGGGAAGGGCACCCTGCTTTCTCTGCTACACCAATGCCATCTGTGCGCTATCCGGCCTCCAAGGACTCCCCCCCCCATGTGGCGGGGGAGATGCCAGCCCCTACCAGGCAGCAGGACCGAAGCATTGGCAGAGCCCACAGCGTTGGAGGCCCTGATGGAGAAGTTGGAGGCCAGGCTGCTGAGCTGGACTTGCACGGTGTGGTTGGTGAGCCAGGGGTAGGTCTTGGTGTCCACGATGAGGAAGGTGGAGGTGTTGACCATGGTCCGCCCGTCTTGGTCCACCCAGGTGATCTGGGCCGGTGGGTTGGCCTGGACCAGCGCGAAGAGCACCAGCAGGAGCCCAGGCTCCCTCCCTTCCTCGTAGTGGGCGTCCAGCTCAACAATCTCGGGCTTGACTGCAGGCGGGAGACACAAACGCTGGGGCTGTTCGTTTCCCACAGCACGGCACTAGTAAGGCTGCACAGCAGCCGCAGCTATGCTGTCCAGAGCTCTCTGTTGGCCAAGATCCCTGGGCTTGCTGCGGCATCCATAGCACTTTCCTGGATGCTGCCCCTTAGAGATCCTTGCCAAGGCCCTGATGCTTTGAGTTGCTGATGTCTGGGCCAGCAGGACTGAACCAATAACCGGTATCTTTTGCTAACAGCTGGGAGGAGGGTATGGAGAGCTCAACCTCTGCAGCCATGTTGAGGCGGGCACGTGAAGACAGATCAGGTAAGGGGCAGAGACAAGAGGAACATGCTTCTACGGGGGTCAGCTCCGACTCCCCCCGCTCACACTGAACGTTGAGCAGGACGGAGGCATTGGAAACGTGGCCGGTCGCCGGATCGGTGGCGGAGCAGTCCAGCTGGCGGTCGAGGCGACGCGCCGTCACGACGAAGGTGCTGCTGCTGCTGCTCCTCTCGGCGAGGGCGTCCTCGTCCCCGTCCCCGCCGCCCTCGGCCACCATCAGCCTGCTGGAGCCGCCGCTCTCCTGCCGCTTGCCGTTGAGGTACCAGGCCAGGTTGGGCGCCGCCGCCAGGCAGGTGAAGGTGCGGTTCTCGGCCTCCCGCAGGCTGCTCACCGACCGCGCTCGCCCGTCGATCGTGGCCTCCGGCTCCGCCGATGAAATGTTGGAGACTTGTAGATTGTCTCAACAGAGGCTGCAGCGTGACCACAAACCAAATCTAGTTTAGGAGTAAGCTGTTTGCTGGTAGTGACAGATTCCTCTGGGTTTGATGACCAAACACCGTACAAAGTTGCTGCAACTGTGTGGGTATGTACACTTGACCGCCTCCTAGGAGGTGATTTCAGCATATCAATGGAAAGGACAGAACTCTTTGATTTCCTTCCTGAATCCCACTTTTGTTGAGGTAAAGAATTTCTTTCAGAAGGAGTCAAAGCACAACCTGCAACACAACAAAATGTATGTCATGGAAAGTAACTATTCTTCATTTGGCAGTTTCATAGCTATATCGGGTGACCGCGCTGCGCCACTGGCCGGCTGGAGGCGCGCTCGCCTTTTCCTTCCGCCTCGGTTGGGCCCGATGTCTCGGAATACCGGCCTGGATTCCTCGGGTTCCGAGCCGGCAGGCAGGCAGGCAAAGCGGGGCGGGGGCGGAG